GCAAAAATAAAGGAGAAGCAAAGCAAATCTGAGACCTTTCTTTTAGTAGTTTCCTTTTTGTATCCTCTTCTCAGTTTGTTCGGGTTGTTCACTACCTATAAATGATTTCCTTAGTCTATTACACAACAACTAATACTTTCAGGACGAATTTCATCACCAAATCTTAATAGATACAAAACGAATTTCAATCGAAATGAGTGACATCAAGATAATAGCATTATTTAAGTACGCGAACTAGGAGGCTCTTCATCTTCGCACTCTAGAAACTCATCGCCATCGTAAATCCTCAAGTCGTGGTCCTCGGCCCATCTTGCTGCCATAGCCAGTTCGTCTTCCACGCCAGACACCTAACAGCAAACTATTTTCGAAACTCATCTTCGAATGCGTAACCGTATAATTGTAAATCTAACCATTATGAGAAAAAGTATTGAACGGTTTCATTCAAAAAGTTTTCGATGATCAAAAATTTTGTATCGATCGCTGTTGCAGATAAGCAAAGTACACTGACTACATTGGCGACAACCACCTCGAACATCGCGCATCACGCACGCCCTTTCATTGGGGACCCGTCGAAGGGATACAAAAACGTTCCCTCACGAAAACCGAGGAAAAGGACAAAGAGTGGAAGTGCAAAGTGATGAAATGGCACCAGCTGTCATCACGTAGACAGCTCCTCACTTGTTGAACAATTGCCGATTTAGAGTTGGGAATCGGGTATCGCAAAAAAATAATAAGTTAACAGCTTCGTAAGACACCTGTTTATTGAGATCCGAGGTAGACGAAACCTCGTCACGCGAGATCGGTTGTGGAGTCCGGCTCCGAGATCTGGATTCATCCACAATACGCATTCGATCAACATCTCTAACAAAACTGCTCGCAACGCTTCTCGTACTATACGCCTGAAAATGCACTGAATACGTGAGAAGCTGCAACGACCTCGAGGAATAGTACCTTCCCGCAAAAGAGCGCATGGATGCCTATAAGTAACTTGGTCTATCACACTCAGATGAGGGATTTCAAAAAATAACGATGCTCACATAGCTCCGCCTTCGCAGGAGAGAACTTGTCCACTACCCTTGAAGCCAGGTGCAGCTAGCCCCAACTCGGGATGAGTCTAAGACTCCGCATCCCTAGACATTTCCCCTGTTCTTGTCCATGAGAGTTGCGTCATCGACCAGACGAGAGAGGACGCAGTTTTGGGGATCTATCTCCAAGTTGGGGTTGCTGCACACGCCCCAGAGCTCAGTCATTCCCTCCTTCGAATTGGAGTTACCGTAACTCGCACGAGTTTTTGCACTAGTTTATATAGAACAGAAAGGTCTGTGATGCAAAAAAAAATGTAAAAAAAAATAACTAACGCACTCCCATGAAAAAAGGGAGCTGAGCCGAGTATTCACTATCCGCTGAACAAGTACTCATTGGTGATCGATAAGCTTCCCGCCAGACTTCTTTGGCAGGTGTCGACCTGACAAAAAAAAGATCAACTATATGAACTTGTACACACAACTAATAACCTTCAATCTAAGAGCATACTTTCACGGCAAATGAAGCAAGAAAACCTCAGTTCCAAACGAACTGCGATAACGCGAAACGACAGACTGAAGCAGGGTCAACTTACGGGGACTTCCTAGCACCAGCTTTCTGAGGAGCACCGGCAGAAGTAGACGTCCGACCACCATCCTGAACATCAACGAGGAATTTAAAAAAGAAGCTGGACAGATAGTCGGAACAAAAAGTAATTGAATCCATTTGAAGGAGCACTTGAAAAAAAAACGCTACCACACCTGGTTTCTTTCAGAAGAAGCACTCTCAGGAATCGTCGAGTTCCGACTCTGTGCGGTTGCATAATCCTCCTCGTCGGAATCGCTTAAATCTTCTCTGCTTGAAAAAAGCGTTCTCAATTTCGCAGGTTCAACACGAGGCGTCTGAAAAACAATGCGCTGATGACTACATTACTATGAACAGTATTAGTGTTGATGAGTAATGCAAGTGATTTACCGGATCTTTATAGCGAGCCTCCAAGTCAATAGAAATTGTCGAGTCACTGTCATCCTGAAGCAACTCAACCGATGATGAATCTTCCTCTCCATTGATGATATCGATTAGTTCCATCTTCACAGCGAGTGGCGGCGCTTCTGTGCCTGAACTGGTGGCAACATCGCTTCCCTGAAATTACAGTTGAAAATGGAATTATACTACCCTTTGCAACAGCGTTTCATAGCGCGAAAATCACTTTGGTGATTCATTTTTTTCGGATTTCAACTTCACGAATTCAGCTTGATAAAGAGTCGACATCTGAATAAGACTAAGAGCCGGGGTAAAATCAACTGAATAATGGTCAACGCACTTCAACTGGTGCTGACCCCTCCCAAACATTCAGCGTGGTGTACCTTTGAACGAATATACCTTTGAACGTCATCATTAAAAAGGTAGGACTGTCCCCAAAAAGCCTACCAACCAATTTGCATTTCTCTAGTGTCCCTTCATCACAGTTTCACGGTACCATCTGAGGCCGCATTCAATCCTTCCCTCAGGGGGATGCATCCTACGGAGTGATCATTTTGTACTCCTACTGACTAGTATAGGGCGCCATTCGTTGCGGGACCCACTGCCTTAACCCGCGGGGATCCCATGCGATCGCGGTTGAATTCGAACATTCCAGCTTCTCACGCATGTCAAGTGACTGCCCTCACCCCCCACCCCCCTAGACTGGCGACACTGCCCCTGGCTCACGGATTCCCCGCTCCACATTGAAGGGTTCACTGTAGCAGGAGGCAGTGGGACCCGTAACGAATGGCGTCCTTTACTAGTCAGTAGGAGTACAAAACGATGCGTTCGCATCCTACTCCTCTGATTCAATCCTCAGGGAGACAAAAAAGAGTTGCGTCATAGGACCTCACCCCTCTGTGTTTCTACCTGCCAGACAGTTAGAGCAGCGCGACTACCCTCCACTGATGAAGCACTCTTTTCCCTGAGGGGTCGCGCTGCTCTAACTGTCTGGCAGGTAGAAACACAGAGGTATGCTAGGTCCTATGACGCAACCCTTTTTTGTCCCCCCAGAGGATTGAATCAGAGTAGGGGGATATATCCCCTGGGGGAAGGATTGAATACCGCCCCTGGTTTCCAAATGGAACTCGTTCAGTAATATCATAGTTTAGGAAGGTTTGCCGACATTTAGCTCGCTTTGATCTAACCTCCTCTACTTCGCACAATTAAAATAAACTGATAGGCCTAGAGAGAGTGAACAAATAATCGAATAAAATATGGAGACAGAAATGCAGTTGCTTCATACACAAATACCGAACAAGGATCGCAGTTAGAAACGTACCGATGCTGAGCTAGAAGTACAGGAGTCTGTCGACTGCCCGTTACCTTGGCACATTTGGTTTGTTCCTCCACTGCAAAGAACAAGTTGAAACCAAGCGATAAAATTATCCCAAATGTAAAACACAGAGGATTATGGCTATTTCAGTTGTCCGATGTTGCCAAAAAGTCCGTGTTGCAAAAGTATTTCTTCAATAGTTCACGATGTAATTTCGGGAGCGTTAGCAAAAGAATAATAATTACCTGGTCTGACCACTGATGCCACTTTGAACGCACGTGCTACAGTTTCCTGCCGCATGATCGACCTAATTAACCACAAACTATTATACTTCAACCAAGAGCTTAAAAATGATTAAAAGTTGACGATAGCGTGTTTCGGTTCTTTCTTGGCTGCATGAAACAGGAGCGATTTTGCGAGCGCGGCCGCCTCGCCTCATATCCGTAAATTTCGAGTGATATCTATGCTTGCACAAAATCATTACAGGAACACTGAATGCGTAGAAGTTTATCGGGAGTATAGCGGAGAATGTTCCGATCAAAAGAACATGTAATGGCCATGAAAGAGCAAGCCTTATTATTTCTCTCTGTGATAGACGTCAAAAGTATTTCTAACGTGACTATGCCAGAAAAACAGATATTTTTCTATCCGTGTGGGCGTGCGTTTACTTCTACTTAG